AGGCCTAGGCGGTCAGCCCACCTGCCCGAGCTGCCCTCCCCTGGATGGCGCTCAGAGGGACTTCCCCGGGGGTCAGCTGGCTGTCGGGACGTGGCAGGTAGGTCCCCGGGCTCTCAGCGGTGCAGATGGTTGTCACGGTCTGGGGTCTGCTCTTGTCTTTCTGTAGCTGCAGCATTTGCAAGAAGAAGCAGAACAAACACTTCATCGTCCCTGCCTCTCGCTTCAAGCTCCTGAAGGTGGGTGCTGGGGCGGGGGCGGGGGCGGGGCCTGGCCTGCAAGAGGGTGGGGAGCCGTTGGGGGCCCCCGGGAGCTTTACTTTCCCTCGTCACCCAGGTTTCAGGCTTATTTTTAAAAGGTTATGTTATCTTTCTCCTTTACATTTTGGATGCATGTTTGATATTATGGTGGAAACATGTACAAACAGAGAATCAAAAACTAAATAAGCTCACCCAGACCCTCTCAGCCAGAGGCAGCCGCTGCTGCGCTGGGGTGTGTCCTCACGTAGTATCTCGTGCACAGGTGAGCACATCTGAATGTATCACACGTGTTTCTACTAAAGCAGAATTTTACCTTTTTCGCTGTTGTATAATTGCCTTTTTATCATTTCCCAGTGAAAAAGAAATGATTAAAAATTTTTAACTTTCTTATTTGGGGGAAATTTTGGTGCTTGGTACAAAATGTGAAAGGTGCAGAGATGCATATGCAGTGAGGTCTCCCTCCACAGTCCCTCAGCCCCCACCTCTTCCTCCCCGACTGCCATTTCTTGGTTTACTTAAATGATTATGCCTGTGTTTGCAGCATATTTTGTTTTGCTTTTTTGCTTTTGGTTTCTTTTTGTGGGGGCGGTAATTAGGTTTATTTATTTTGATGGAGGGACTGGGGACCGAACCCAGGACCTCGTGCATGCTAAGCGCGCACTCTGCCCCTGCGCTGTACACTCCCCCCGCATGTTTTGTTGTACGAATGTACCACAGGCAGTTTTCTACATTTGAACTTCCAGGTTGAGTGCAATTTTTTTTTTCAGTTACAAACGATGCTGTCTCCCTGTATATAAATCTTTGACAGTTTAGAAATTCTATCTCTGCGTCAGTTATCTTAGAAGTGAACTCTCTGATGGAGGAATACACGCCGCTGAACAAGGCGGGCACCCTGCTCGGTGGGCTGGCCCGGGCTCCTCTCTGCTCCAGCGCAGCGGTCGGTCTGTGGTGGCGTCCTGCACTAGCTCAGGAGGACCTCCCGGAGCCGCCTCTGGTCACGTCTGACCAGCCTCGTGGCTTTGGCATCGAGTGGACATGCAGGGAGGAGAGGCTAACTGAGATTTAGTCCCAGGCGCTTTGGGCCAGGTTGTCTCCTGTTCCTCGTCTGCCTTTGAGATTTTGCTTGCGTGTCCGGCAGGGGCAGGTAGGCAGCGGACCTCCTGTCTTTCTTGTGAACCCAGAAGAATGCCCGCTGGAGGCTGTGGCCCCGAGCACCCGTGCAGGTGGTTCCTGAAGACACTGGGTGTGGCCGTTGGCTGTCAGTCTTGGAATTGAATTTCTCTTTTTTTTTCCCTTCCATGGGCCTGCTTATCAGTCATTTCCCCGGTGCCCCAGAGCTCTGTCCTCTTCTTTGGCCCGGCCTTTTGAAGGAGCAATTTTCTGTTCTTTTAAATTAAGTTCAGAACTCACTCCTTGATTCAGCAGTGTTTATGGGGCACCTGCTGTGTGTTGGGCACTGTTCAGCCGAAACCCTGCAGGTGACATCACAGACAAGGCCCTTGTCCTCTGGGAGCTTCTGTCTCATGGAGGGAGACAGATGGGTGAGGAAAGGGCCGGAAGCGCTGTGTAGAGAGTGAAGGCGGGCCGCGTAATGGAGGATGGCTGTGGGGCTGGGTCGGATGGGTTAGGAAGGCCCCCCTGGGGACCTGTAGGTTTCAGCGATGGATGTGTGTGGGGTCTTGGTAGGAAGAGCGTTTCGGGCCTTGGGCATGCGCGGTGCAGGGGGCACATGCTCAGTACATTCCAAGGAGCTGAGCAGTGTCCCGGGGCTGGAGGGTGGTCGGCTCCTTGTGCCTCCTGACCGTTTCTTGGGGAAAAGTGTGCAGACAGCTAACTCTGGGTGGTTTGGGCCCACTTGGCTGCTCTCTGTGCTGTGCTGGTTGCGGGGGGAGGAGAGGCCCCTCGGAGCGGTTTTCCACGCAGCTCGGAGCTCTGAGGGCTGTTCCCCTGGGGTGGGGCTCGGGAGACCATCCACCCCGTGTCTCCCCAAGGTGGATCTTGGTTATTTCTTTAAATGCACGTGCCAGGATACATGCTGTTTAAAGTCAGGAGTGGCAGCATGCTGCACAGGCTGTTTAAGCCTTGCTTTTTCACTTGGTTTTGTGACCCCAGGGATTGTCTCATTAGTGTTTGTAAGTAGCGCTGCCTCATTCTTTCCAGAACTTGCAGGGGCTCCATTTAGGCCTGTGATTGTTAGTGTTCAGCCTTTTCAGATGGCGTCTTAACATCTACGTATACACGTCATTGGATAAACTATGGAATTTTAATTGTAGAGCACATTTCTAGACGTGGAGTTGATGTGTGAAAGAATATGTGCACTTTTTAAATTTTGGTGGATGTTCCCAAATCTTATGAATTTACATTCCCACGACTTACACACGAGAATGCGTGTTTCTCCGCCCACTCAGTGCTGAGGTAGGTAACTGTAATGTTTGCCCCTGACAGTGAAAAATACCTCAGTGCAGTTCATGAGAGTGAATATCACGTCCTCGGTGAGAGAGATCCGTTTTCCCTATTCGAATTGTCCGTTAAGGACAGTAGCCCCCTGTCTGTGATGCCTGGTGGGATCCTTTCCCAGTTGGTTCTTTGTGGATGAGTTCGCGTCCAGCCAGTGTGTTCTCGAGGCCTTGAGCAGGCTGTCTGGGGACACTGGGGGCCAGCCCCTCGGTTGACATCCCCCCGCTCAGGCCGGGGAGACAGGAGAGCTTGAGGCCAAGGGTGGTGTGTGCAGCCGGCCTGAGGGGCCCTGAGCTGTCACCCTCCAGACCCATGTGTGTCCGGGCCGTGCAGTCGGGCCTGTTCTCAGGTTGGATGTGCTCGTGATCCCGAGAGCCTGGCAAGAGAGCTTTGTGTTTCTGAAATGACAGCAGAGCCTCTTTGTCCATCTCCCCCAGGGAGCCGACAGCATCACCACGTACACGTTCAACACCCACAAGGCGCAGCACACCTTCTGTAAGAGATGCGGCGTCCAGAGCTTCTACTCCCCCCGCTCCAACCCCGGAGGCTTCGGTACGTGCGCACCGTGCCCTGCGCCGCCCGCCTGCCAGGGCTGAGATGTGGTGGGGAAGGTGGCACTGGCTCCTGCCCAGCCAGCTGGGCCCCCTCACAGGCCTATTTTAGAGGAACAGGGCCCTCTTTTCGAACGATGGGCCATGAGCTGGCCCTGGCCCTCAGAGATCATGCTGGTGCGGCTGGGCTGATGCTGCGGGTGGAGAGGGGCAGGAGAGGTGAGGCCTGGGGGCACAAGGGAGTGTAGGAGGCCAGATTGTTCAGAACACAGACTGGAGAGCCCAGGGCTCCCTTCAGGTCCTCTCGGATGGTGAGGAACAGCCCTTAGGCCGCCTGACCCCAGCTGCGGTGTGAGTCGGAGGGAGTCGCGGTGGAAGGTGTTCCTGGAGTCTCACTCCCTGCGCAGACGAAGCCTCCAGACCTGCAGCCACTGCGGCGCCCTGAGCCCGTGGAGGGTGGGGGTGGTTGTGACACCACCCTGCAGCTCCTGTGCATCCTCATCTGTCATGTGGAGAGTCCTCCCTGCCGACCCAAGACTCAGGAACGGCATTTGGGGAGTAAAATCTGCATAAATGAGAGTAGCTAGTGTCCAGGGAGTTACCCGTCTGCGCCCTGAGAAAGGCCAGTGAATTCTTCAGGCTGCCCGCCAGTGATGGCTCCAGGCTTGAGTCCTTCTGCTCTTTGGTGCTCCCAGTGTGGTTTGAGTGATGTCGGCCGTGGCCATACCTGGTCCAGGAAGCCGGACCCCCGTGTGAGAGATGGAGGGGCCAGAGGGTCACTCAGAGAGCCTGGTTCGCATGGACACTGGCAGGACGCTGGCAGGTCACTGGCAGGCGTGGGTTTGTCCCAGAGCCTGTCTGCGCCCGGTCTCACTCCTGCCGGGGCGCTTTCTCTGTGCCACCCCTGCAGGAATCGCCCCCCACTGCCTGGACGAGGGCACCGTGCGGAGCGTGGTCGTTGAGGAGTTCAACGGCAGTGACTGGGAAAAGGCCATGAAGGAGCACAAGGCCATCAAGAACATGTCTAAGGAGTGAGCCCGCCCACTGTCCCAGGAGGAGGGGCGCTGGCCCCCGGCCCCCGGCCCGCTGTCCCCGCCGGCCAGGTCGCCGGCATTTGCGGCTTGCTGCAGCCGCCAGTGTCTTCAGGCAGCTCTTGTCCTTCCTCAGCTCAGATTTTGACATAGGCTAGTTGACAACCTTCTATTTCTTCCCGATTTTTGTGTAATCTTTTAGAAAAATAAATATTTTTAACATTAAAGCAGTTACCGTGGTTAATCATTTTCTTTGTACGTTGGTTCTGCTTCTGAGGCCGTCGTTTTACAGCAGATGCTTACTGAGCGCCAGTAAGATGCTCGCAGCCAAACGAGGAGCCGGACGGGCCGTTGTCAGGTGTCGGGGCCAGCGTCGGAAAGATCTGTGAGCCTGGGGGTTCAGAGGAGAGGGGCTGGTCACGGGAGACGCAGGGGAAGTGTGACTGGGTGACCGGCGTCTTCTGTTTTTTAAGGTAGATCTCATCTAATTTCTTTTTTCAAAATTGCAGTAAAAGACACATGACGTGAAGCGGACCCTCTTCGCCGTTTTCAGGCGCGCGGAGCAGCGGGGCTGGGTACGTTCACGCTGTTGTGCTGCCGGTTTCCAGAACGCTTCATTTTGCAAAACTGAACCTCTACCCAGAAACGACCACTTTGTATTTTTAAAGGAAGCAAGAATCAGGAAGAAGGGAGGGGTCTCTGAACAGAGTTGGGGTGCACGGTGAGGCCGGCCGATTTGGAGACTTGGGGTGGGAGGAAGTGGTGGGTCAGAAAAGCAGGGCGAAGCCAGTGTGGACGGCCTTTGGTGTCTCTCTCAGGCGCCGAGAAGCCCCGAACAGCTGCGAACGGCCTGTTGCCTGGTTCTTGTTTCCCGTTGCTCTGTGTCCATCAGTGCCTTTCGTTACAAGAAGACGCTTTCCCGAAGCTTTCCTTTCCTGACCGAGTCCCAGGTGTGCACGTGCTGGCAAATGTTTAATAAGTACTTGCTCTTTGCTTTAGGAACGTGAACCATGAAATGATCTGTGAGGCAGAGCAGACAGGGAAAAAGGGAGAGGAAATACCGGTGGACGGCGCCCTGTGTGGTCACCGTGTCGGCTGACAGCCCCGCTGAGACTTCTCGGTGGGAAGGGGGAAGGAGCTGGTGGAAATGACGCGGATGAGACCTGAGCACATCCTGGTGCGGTGACTGTCCCCTCCGACCTGCCTTTCCTCCTGCAGTAGCATGTAAAGCACAGGTTCCTGTCTTCCTTAAAAACGTAAGTGGCATCTCACGTACGTTCTGTTCTGCAACCTCATTTTTGCTTGCAGACATCTTGACCTCACTTCAGCAGACGCAGTCTCATTACTGGTAGCTGCGTGGGACGCAGAGTATGGGTCTGGTCTGCTTAGCCGTCTTTTCTTTATGGAAACTGAGATTTCCTGTTTCCTTTACAATAGTGTTGACATTCTTTTAAATGCCTCTTTGTACATGTGTGTTTTTTGAGGCTGTGCAAGAGGAATTGCTGGGTTGAAGATATGCGTATTTTAAACAGTGGAAGTGCTGAGTTTCCTGCAGAAACCAGCCTCTGAAATGCCTGTCAGCCCGTCAGCAGCAGCGCCCTCCCTCACCAGCACTTGATGTTATCAGTGTTTTAATTGTGACCAGACTGTTGGGCAAAACATTTTTTTCTTAAGTTTCCATTTTCCTGATTATGAGAAATAAGCATCTTTCCTGTTTTTTGACCATTGTTATTTCCCGTCCTGTCAGCTGCTTGCTCATGTCTGTTTTCCTTGGGGGCTATTTTTTGTTTCATCCACATGTTAAAAAAATTAGTAAGTAATGTGTTTCAGGTACTATCTTTGAAAATTAATTTTTGGAGCTCTGTATGTTCAGGTATACATCCTGTTATAAATGTCACAAATACTCTTTCAGTCTGTCACTGTTGTAACTTTATTAGGGTTTTAGGTTTTGAAAGGCTCAAATTTATCAGTCGTTTTTTCCCCTTTTCTTTATGGCAATCTGACTTTTCTGGGGTTTTTTTTAAGTTTTTTTAAGGGGGTAATTAGATTTGTTTGTTTATTTTTAAATGGAGGGACCAGAGCTTGAACCCAGGACCTCATGCACGCTAAGCACACGCGCGTCCCCTAGATTTTACTCTACGACTCTCATAGTCTTTGGTGGCTTTTTTTGTTTTTTCTCTTTAATCCAACAGATAGGTCTTTAATCTGTCTTGATTTTTTTCTTTCTGAGTGGCTTTTATTTTTTGCCTTTGTCAGCAGTATGAGGTAGGGGTTTAGCCCCCACTGAAGCAGATAACCACCAAATCAGCTCTCCTGCTGGCAGACGCTCCGCCCCCGCTGGCTCAGAGCGCGGCGTTTTCTACAGGAGGTGGTTTCCTGACACTTCATTTGTTTTCTCAATTTATTTTCCCAAAGTCCCACAAATACCAGAGGGTTTTAAATACGGAAAGCCTTATCATGTGCTTTTTAAAAAATCTGATAGAATAAAGCTTCCTTACTATTTTTTAATCAGTTTGTTTTCCAGATGAACTTGAGAATGGGTGTAACGAGTGCCATATAAAGTCCTGTCTGGATATGGTTGCAAGTGTATCAAATTTATAAATTAACTTGGGGGACAGGCCTCTGGACAGTGCTTACTTGCGGTCTGGGAGGGTGGCCATCCCACTGGCCGGCTTTGTTCTCTCGCGTTCCTCTGTTGAGTTCCCTGCTCTTCTCCGTGTGGAAGGTGGCTAAGTGGCCCGTCTTGTGTCAGGCTTGTTCCCGGGTATCTTATGGTTTTCCTGTGGTTCTTGTGAACAGGATCTCTTTTTAGACTTTGCAGCTGGTTACTGCTGGTGGAGAGGAGTGCTGCTGTGTTGGTGTGTGACATTTTTATCCGGCCACTTGTTGAATTTCCGGTGACTTTCCTGGAAGCATCCCTTGCAGGGAGGTCCCGGCAGAAGCTGGAACGGCCCCTGGGCCCCGAGTGGAAACTCCCAGCTGGAGCCTCCAGCCGTCATGTTAGAAACTGGTATTTCCCCACTTGCTTGGGGCTCAGAGAAAGCAAGGGTTTGGTGCCGGCCAGGAGCAGCTCTGCTAGGACTGTGACTTGGAGTGTCGGGCACCATCGGACGCAGCCTGGCACCTGTCACTGTCCTTCTGGTCATGGCCAGGAAGCTGCCTCTCGGGTCGTATTGCCCTGCGTGCCCCGTGTTACCCCTCTGTCGTACAGCTGAGTTCATGAAGGAAGGAGACGTCCTGCAGGCGACAGGCGCCTCCCAGGACAGGCTCCCCGCGCTGCGCTGGGGGAGTCCCAGCGCTGGGAATCTTACAGGATCTGTCTTTCCTGAAATCAGCCTTTACTCCTGTGAAGCCCAGGACACAGGGCCGGTGCTGCATCTGTGACAGATGAGAAGCTCAGGGGTGGACTGTCGACCCCCTACTCTCCCGCCATCGCCCCCCTCCAGCCGGGAGGGCAGCACTGGTGTCAGGACGCAGGCGTTGCCGGCCAGGCTCCCGGAGAGCACGCTGTGGCTGCTGCTTGGCGTCTCCTTCTAGGCACGAGGCTGCCACTGCGATCCCCCCCATCGACCAGACCCAGACCAGCGGGAGAAACGACACCCGCAGTTCTGAACTCGTGGGCTCGGATGAGCTGTGGGGCACTGGGACGCTTTCCCTTGGCCTCGCCGCCCCCCAGACTCCCCTCAGACCCTCCCTTAATCGGACCACATGTTATCAAGCTTTTCTTTTCATTTTTTATTGTTTTAGAGGAGGTACTGGCCTTGGACCTAGGACCTTGTGCATGCTAAGCATGCGCTCCACCACTGAGCTACCCCCCCTCCCCACATCCAGCTTTTAATCACTGAAGTCGACTCCACTTCATGTGGGTTTTCCTTGCAATACTGTCAACATGGGACAGGAGCCCCTGGCAGGGGTATGGGTACAGGCAGGATTCAAATTTGACCAAGACCTTAACAGTCTGATCAAACTAGAGCTATGTTTTTCTGGATTTTTTTTCATGCTGTTCTCTCTCTTTTCTAAGTTGAAGTATAGTCAGTTTGCAGTGTTGTGTCAGTTTCTGGGGTGCAGCATAATGGAGAGCTGTGTCTTCTCCTCGGCGTCTTGTGGGTCTGAAGCATGAACACTGTGTGGATCCTGTGGCTCTTCCGTCCGGTTCTGTCTGTGTCTCTGTCAGGTTTGACTGGCTCACTTTCCGTAGGACTCCCCGACCTTACACGTTCTCTTTGTGCTGGTGAACTCGATGCTCTTCACCACTGATGGACGGCTCGGGTGGTCTCCGGGGAAAGGTGTGCCTCCTCCAGGAAGTGCTCCAGGTGGTCCATGGAGGTTTGGGAAGAAAATGTTGGCATTTATATTTATCCCTTTAACATTTCCTTGTGAGTGTGTGTTTTGTGAGGTATGTATTATTGCGAAGTCAGAGTCAGGAGATCCTTGCTCCAGCCTGTTGATTGTTTTCCCTCTGATCAGGGCTGCACGTCATACATCTGTGCATCTTTGTACTAGTTTCAATGCCCTGAGGGTAAATGTATTCAGGGTCAAGGGATACAGATGAACGTTGTAAAGATTTGTGACATGCTAATGTGCAGAAGATTCCGCCATCTTATGTTTCCCCCAGCAGCAAATGTGTCTGCTCCCTCACCTGCAGGACACGGGCCATTACTGTTTATTGACATCTTTGCAAGTTAGACATGTGAAACGGCATTTTCGAGTAGTATATGTTTCTTTAATTAGTAGTGGGATTTTTTTCCCGCATTGGGTGCGTGTGTGTCTCGGGACGGGTCGGGGGGCGACCCATTCAGGTTCTCTGCTCCCTCCATTCTCCTCCCTGGAAACCTGTCCCTCTAATCCAGTCACCACCTTCAGTGAAAGATGGATTTTCATCTTTGCTTGAATTTGCACGCCCCGGCGACTACTGAGGTTGAATAGCTTTTCATGTTCATTGGCCATTTGGATCTCATCTGTTGTGAATTTTCTATCCTTGATCCATTTTTTTTCTTTTGAGCTGTTTTCTTATCAATCTTTATATGTTAGGGATGTTAACACATCTGTATGTAATACCTGTTAATTTCAGAAACTTGTGATATATCTCGTTTTTTCCCTTTACATTTTATGAGTTTCCAGCCTAGTCCGGTCAGGTCTGCCCCATTCCAAGGTATGTACACATTTAGTCTCTCAAGTTTCTTAAATGATATTTTGATTGTTTTGACTTTTATATGTAAATCTATAATTCGTGTACAATGCACT